TCGTCCACATCGTCTTCTTCCTCCCGAATACAACACACCCCAACAGCTCACTGTCGGACAGCAGTTCGGGCTGTCAAGACCTGCTAACCAAGGCCCGCCCTCAACTTATACTTTATCATGTTTGTGTAGGGGCCGTGCTAATCTTCTCTACATCACTCCCATTTTAACGGATATCCCAAAGGACCAAAGGGAAATCCCCCAATGAGGCTGCACACAAGATCAGATCCGGGACTGGATCTGCATTTCAGCAGTTCATGGGTGTACCAACTGAGCTAGGCTCTTGGGTACCTCTGCCAGTCCCGGAACCAGTGCCTGGGCCACGTCCCAACTACGACAAAGGGGTAAAATAAAAATAAAAATAAAAATAAAAATAAAATAAATAATGATAAAGTAAAACAGCAGAAAGGGGAGGGATTCCAAATGGGCAGCTGAACACAGTCAATGCTGCTGCAACCACCGCCCTTTCCCGCTGTGCCCAAGCACACTTTTCTCCTTCCTTTGAGTCTCAACAGGGCATGGCCACACTCAGACCTCCCACAGCAAATAGTGGGACCGGGCGGTATGCCCCCCTCAAATGAACGGCGCTGAAGTGTCGCGCCCTATGCTCGGTCGTTGTGGCTATTCCGATGCCGCAACGAGGAGGGCACAAGGTCCGCCGCAAAGTCTGCAACATGAACTCAAGTGAGAACAGGTCCCACTGCAGATCTTGGTGGTGCTTAGCAATTTTTCAAGTGAGAGCCTTGAGACCGCAGAGACGGGTTCCATGTGATCAGCCGCTGCAGCGGCCTCTGCCCTGGTGCGCCCGTCCCTACTGCGCCCAGGCACTGTTCACCACCTTTTGGGTCCCAACAGGCATGCTCAGGGCATACTCACACTGCAGGCCCCCACGGCCATGCTCACACCGCAACCCCAAACCTGCAAAAATATGCAGATTTGGGACGGGCAAATTTGGGGTCTTGCGCATGGTTCAGGTCACACACCTGTCTCTTATACACATCTAGATGTGTATAAGAGACAGGACGGGTTCCATGTGATCAGCCGCTGCAGCGGCCTCTGCCCTGGTGCGCCCGTCCCTACTGCGCCCAGGCACTGTTCACCACCTTTTGGGTCCCAACAGGCATGCTCAGGGCATACTCACACTGCAGGCCCCCACGGCCATGCTCACACCGCAACCCCAAACCTGCAAAAATATGCAGATTTGGGACGGGCAAATTTGGGGTCTTGCGCATGGTTCAGGTCACACACTGCTGCCCCTTTTCAGATGGGACACGACCCTGGCCGTCTGCAACAATGACAAAATGGTCCTTTGCTGGTCCCACGGCACCATCCACAAGTCGTGCAAGAACTGGTGACCGTGAATCCCCTTGTCCCGCGGCCACACAGGCTGCCTGACAGAAGGCACACAAATGGTACATTTAGGCCTTTGGCGAATCTGTGTGACTGGTCATGCGCCTCACGGCCCCGACAGCATACTCCCACTCACCCCTTTTCACAACAGACCGGGGTTGGCGGATGGTGCACCCGCGGAGGGTCCCTGCCGCTCAGGTTTCCTCCGCCTCGTGGGYGAACCCAACAGGCTCCCATGTTTGTTGAACTCCTCAGCCCGCGGTTTCAACAGTTCATGGGCGTATCAATTGAACCACGCCCGCCGGTCCCCGCACACAACTCCGGTACCAGCGCTGTCGCCGTGCCCCGGGATCGACAAATAAAAGTAAAGGTAAAAATAAAATACGAACGTTAAAATCCGGTGCTCTAGGGAAGGGAGACCGCCAGTACCACTCTCAGTTCCGCCTGTCGGGCCTACAGATGGGCCGACAACAAAACCAAGGGGGATAGCCCCGCCAGGCCCTCAACCCATCGGCATCTTCAGCCGCTCAGATATTCCATCGCCGCCAGTCGTCGCCCTCGATCCCTGTACCGTCGTTTTGAAAGCTCACTGCCGTTACCAATAGTGCCAGTACCCAAGGCTAAGGCAGACTACGACAAAATTCAATATAAGTTGTTGTCGCGCGGCACGTGGGCCTACGAGCCAGGCTCACGACTGTCGACCTATGGCGCCCGCCACTCATAAGGTCTGGCTCTGTCCACGACTGTCGTCCTCCCGCATCTCCCGCGTGGAGGTCACCGCTCACATTTTATTTTCCTCCCGCATGCTCCAACCAGCGCCTGAAAACAAATATTATTGTCTGATGACGTCTCCTGTATGAGCGTACACGCACCATGGTCACCTCAACATAGAGAAAACTCCTAACTTTTAATCAAAATCACAATTTTGTCGGCGGAAGCACCGACTCTATAACATCAAAATAAGAATTATAACGCACGCCTCGAAATTGCGTGCCCACACACTCTCTACTTTTAGTCAACCGTTTAAGTCAGCGTGAACAAAACGCAACTGTGACTCGTGCAGTACACTCAAATGTCGAACAAAACTTATCTTCTGTCACTCGCAAAAACCAGGGCGGATACCCTTGTAAGGGTATTCGCGCCGACAGCGCGCTCTCTACCCAACACACATATCTAACATGACATAACTCCACATCAATGCAATGCAGTGAAGGGATAAGGAAGCATGACCGAACTCCACATCTATGGAATATAGTGAAGAGACAAGGAAGTGCCCACCAATCTAAACTCTACTCTGTGCAAGGCGTAGTAACTAGGCTCCTAACCCCTAGCAAGGGATGGCAGATTCCCCGAATCGTGCCAGGACCCGCCAATGGGGGCAAGGCAACTATCTCAGCTGGTCCCGAAGTGCGCCGCAGGAAGCATGGGGAATCGAACGGACGACGTGAGGAATCGAACCCACTACCACCTGAATGCCACTTACTTGCTTTACCAACTACGGTAGGCCGCTGTTCGAGATTCAAAACTGATCTTTTCTGCACTCTGGGGATCTAAATCTCACCTTGTGTGTAAACTTTCTTCGCGATGGGGACTCTGAACCCTAAGGCCTAAATGCTAAAACCCTACAGCCCTTAATCCTAAGGCCCTAAACCCAAAGCCCTAACCCTAGAACCTCAACCCTAATCCCTAGACCCTATCGAGCCGCGACTTCCTGAATGCCACTTACTTGCTCTACCAATCGAGGTAGGCCGCTGTTCGAGATTCCAAACTAATATTTTATGCACTCTGGGATCTGAATCTGACCTTGTACGTAAATTTTCTGCACGATGGGGACTTTGAACCCTAAGCCCTAAGACCCTAAACCCTAAACCCTAAATACCAAAACCCTACAACCCTTAACCCTAAGACCCTAAACCCAAAAGCCTAACCCAAATCCCTAAACCCTAGAATCTCTACCATAAACTTGAACCCAACCCTAAACCCAACCCTAAGTCCTAAGCTCTAAAACCCTAAACCCTAAACCCTAAACAAGACTAAAAACCAAAATCCTAACCCCTAAAGCTTAACCCCTAAAACCCTAAAGCCTAAACCCTCAGTCTTAAACCCTAAGCCCTAAGTCTGGAAACCCCAAACTCTAAACACTTAACCCTAGGACCGAAAGGCTTAAACCCAAAACCTAACCGTTGAAGCATAACCCCTAAAACACTAAACCCTAAACCCTTAGTAGTACACCCTAAGCCCTAAGACCCCAAACACTAAACCCCGAGTCCTCGCCCTAAACTCCTAAACTATAACCCCCCAAGCCTTAAACCTTGACGCCTACAGCCCAAAGTCTTAAACCCTGAACCCTATAACGACTGACAGGACTAGCTCAATTGGCACACCCATAAATTGTTGAAATACCAACCAGAATTCAAATCCAGCACAATTTTGGCAGAGGGACAAAGAGGTATATCCTTCGTAACAAATAAAGAGAGAAAGGGAGGTCACAAAAATAAGAAGAGATGCAAGAGACAAAGTTAGGCTAGGCACCAAAAGGCTCAAGGGACAACTCAATAGCCTAACTTAGGCAGGGATGAGGGGAGGTGCATCCTTCCAATTGAAAGTAATTAATGTCCCCCACTCGGATCTCTTAACCATAATGGGGATAAGCGTTGGAGTAGTGTAAGTTTTGTATCTCTTTTTGACTTACCGGTGGAAAAGGAACTGGACTGATGTTCCCCTGCTCCCTAGAAGAGATGAGGAGCCGAAATCGTATGGTTCTGTTTTTTGGGGAAAAAAAGAAAAAAGAAAACAGATGGAACCTAGGCTACTAGTCGGATCGCCTGGATCACCTTGTTTGCCTGGGCAGCTCGACCGTGCGAGGAGCATAGAAAGTCCCAAAAAAAAAAAAAAAAAAAAAAAAAACCTGAATAACTTTTGCCTCAGAGTCACATCGAGATTATATGTCAAATTTAAAACTATATATATACTTTTTTTTTTTTTTTTTTGCCCGGCCGGGCAAATGGTCCCCGACCACTCTAGGAGCCTAGGATGAAACTAATTAAATGAAATTCTCAATTATATGGGGTCAGTCAGTTCGACAATAACATCTCAAAATTGTTACCCTTTTTAAAAAAAAAAACAAGAGAAGTAATTAAAAAAAAAATCCTAAACCGAAAGCCCTAAAAACTTGAACCCTATATTGTACGGAAGACTAAAGTGACTAAACCTGATTCCTTCTAAGCCCCTTCTTATAGATTCCAGCTTGATATTTATGGACTCTCATTTCACGTTCATAGAATTAAGGATTTGGATATCACTCTTTTTGCATTTTGACGATTTTTTAATTAAGAACTCGTATTCCACATTTCAGGTTCCAAATTAATAATTATTAAATTATTAATCCTCATTCGAGATTGACAGCCATCCACGCCTCCCCCCCCCAAAAAAAAAGGAAAAAAAAAAAAAAAGAAAAAAAATAAAGAAACTGCAGATTGACATTCATACTTACGGTTTGCCATCAACCCTTCAATTGTTGCTCTTATTAAGAAGGGGCAAAAATGGTAAACATTTACTTAAAAAGAAGTTTTTTTTTTTTTTTTTTAATTAAAAGCAAAATTATAAATCCAATTCGAAGTGTTGCATACTCAATGAGAAAGGGATCAATATGGTAATTTGGTAAACATTTACTAAAAAAATAGTAAAAATGATTCAATTAGTAAAAACTAGTTAAAAGTTAAAAGCTAAAAGATAAAAACAAGGAATTCCACACAGATGTTCTTAATGAGAACTTAGAAGAGACCAATATGCAAAAAACTTACTTTGAAAAAAAAAAATAATAATAATAATAATAAGTTCCAGATTGTTGCTCCTAGTGAGAAGGGCCCAATATGGTTAAACTTTACTAAAAGAAAAAAAAAATTAAACAAAAATCATATTCTAGATTGGTGTTCTTAGTGAGAAGGATGCAATGTCGCAGTTATTATTAGTCCTCGACCATTACCCCCACCTCGTTGCACAATACCCCTATTGAATGCCCTACAGTCAGGATCGCTACAGTCTACATTATTACATTCAGACTCAACTGCCCTCCTCTCCTGTCCTTCCTCCTCTTCTTCCTCCTCCTCCTCCTCCTCCTCCTCTTCCTCTTCCTCCTCCCCCTCCTCCCCTTCATCGAAAGTCTCCCCAATAAAAACAGGATGACGCTGCTTATAGTGCCCTTCTTCGCGCTCCATCAAGGCTTGGTCCAATGTATCATCCGAACTATAGGACGTAGAGCTTGCTCTGCGAACAGGGACAAACAACGCAATGCAACACAAAGAAAAGAAAAAAAGAAGAAGAAGAAAAAGAAGAAGAACAAGAAAAAAAACCCTCCTTAGTATCAATATCGCAAAATATATGAGCAAACATTTTGAAAACAGTTAACAGTACCAGATGATGACGCGAAGCACGAAGCTAGACATCAATTCGATTTTTCAACGAACGAAGATCGAATAGTGGAGTGGTTATGTTATTGTCGCACTCATGAGTCACGACTCACAACATGATTCCCCACCCCCCCCTTCCTTTCAGTCATGGTATGCACACGCAAAGAGTTGCAAATACCTCGTACATTTGTAGAGTAATATTGCACTAATGTTTGGAGAAAAGGGAAGAAGAGGCAATTCTCAAGAGGTTGGTGTGTTTTTTTGATGAGGATCTTTGCGGGACGGAGTAAAGGTGAACCGCTATTCACTGCTAAATGCTTTAATGACCGACTATCTTACCGTTGCTTACTCGTTATTTGTTTTCGGTTTTTGTATCTTCACTGGTGTGATGTTTTATTGTTTGCTAACTTGGTTCCTACTAATCCTTAAACCTGAAAACAAAACTGTTTTTTTTTTTCATTTTTCTTAGAGTTCGTTTTCATCCAATGTTCCATTTTTTGTATTCCTTTCCTTATCCATGTTGCTCCTTTCTTTATTGGTGTCCTTTGTTTCTTCGTATTTTTTGTCCTTGTTGTTCTTTCTTGTTATTCCTAGGTGACAATCTTGAGATATCGTCATAAAGTTGACCGGCCATAGGTAGTTCATAAATATGTCGTATCATTCATCTAGTTTCATTATCTGGATTCAAACTTGGATCGACATCTTAACAGTTCATGGGTCTACCAAATGAGCTAGGCTCCGTGGTTCCTTGTTGGTATTATTTTTTTCTTTGTGTTTCTTTCCTTGTTTCTTTCTTCCTATGTTCTTTCTTTTCTTGCTTTTCCTTTCCTTGTTCTTGTTGTTCCTTATTTTATATTTCTTGGTACTCCTTTCCTTCGTTCCTGGTGTTCTCATATCTTTCCCTTATACTGTTATTCATGATATTCCTATTCCTATCTCTTTCCTTTATACTACTATTCCTTTCCTTATTCTTCTTATCCCTTGTTTTCTCTTTATGATATTGTGTTTTGTTGGTATTTGTTGTTTCGTTCCTTGTTGTTATTTGTTGTTCCTTTTTGTTATTTTTCTTGTTCTCGTTGTTCATTTTTCTCCTTTCTTGGTATTCCTTTTCTTCTTTCCTCATATTTTCATCCTTTTCCTTTGTATTGCTATTCATGACATTCATATTCCTTTCCCTGATATTCCTTTTCCTTTACTTTATACAACTAATCATTTCTTTATTCTTGTTGTTCCTTGTTTTTCCTTTTTTGAAATTACTTTCCTTCTTTCCTAGTATTCCTGTTTTTTTCCTTTATAATGCTACTCATGGTATTTATATTCCTTTCCTTTATATTCTTGTTCCTTTCCTTGTTCTTGTTCTCCCTTATTGTTCCTTTGTGGATATTTTTTTGATATTTGTTGTTTTATTTCTTGTTGTCGCTTGTTGTTCCTTTCTTAGTATTTATTTCATTGTTCGTGGTATTCTTTCTTTCTTGGTATTTCTTGTTCCTTTCCCATTTATTGTTTTTTTTTTCTCTTTTTTTTCTTTTTCCTTGTTGTTGCTTTCCTTATTGTTTTTATGTGTTCCTTTCTTGAACACAAAGTAATTGGTTTCATCTTTGAATACTTGAGACAGTCGTATAATACACATAAGGTAAGCCACCAAGTTTATCGCATGAATATATGCGAAGTACAAAAGTACATGATTGTGACACATTGATAGCTAATGGCAAATCAATTGGCCTCACCATCTCTCATTTTGAGTACGCAATAACCAAGCGAGCCGTTGTACTCACGTTGGTGACTACATCGTTAATCGGACGGAGTGACAAGGGGAAGTATGAAAAATCGAAGAGAAACACTAATAGATGCGAGGAAGCACAAAACTAAACTGCAAGACTGACACGCTAATAACTGCGAAAAAAAGAAGAAATGTGAAGAAGCACGACCAGGCGTGACGACGCATGATATGAGACTGGAAGACCAGTGAGTTACTAGCTACGACAACACGAAAAAAATATGGCACAGGGAAAAACAAAGAGGAGAAAGCTAGCATGAAACTAGATTGCGAAATTAGTTAATAGCTGCATAGTTTTTTGTAAGGGAGGCTACCAACGATAATGTAGGAGAATGAGATTACACTAGAGATGAGGTTGAAAGCTTAGGTCAGTAGAAGGTGATCCACCTAAGTGCATATTATGCATTATATGTTTAGCTTCAATAACTATTACTCCTACTTCTACTTGTTTTTTTTAATCCGCTTACTCGTTTGTTTTTCTCTTGTCATTTGAATGTAAGCTCAACTTTATACTTAATGCCATAGCAGATTGGTAAAATATCAGCTTTAATCAACACATACACGTTGAAGTCTAGGAATAATTCAAGTTTTTTGTGGTTGTTAGTGTATCATCAGATAGACAATATATGGGGCAATCCTTGATATGGATTAGACTCTCTATGACATAAACAAAGATGAATGTGGTCGAGTAAGGATATTATCGAGTTGAAGTTGTAAGTTGTACCATTACACGATTATTCAGTTTGGCATTCAAGTTTCTGCCTTGTGATTAGAGACACCTATGCAGTAACTGTCGAGTTCTTGTGATTGTGGTCTTGTAATGGTTTGCATCGCCCAGAGCGCAATTTCCCTCTAGAGAACACACTTGAGGGCAACTAGGTGTGAGGGGACCTTAAGGATGCGACGACAAACACCCAAAACTGTGAACTATGTCGGAGCCGACAAGTATGAGTGACTCCCATGGTGGAGTTTTTGGCTATTGGTGGGGAGCGACACAGCCATGAACCGGGCCCAATCGTCCATTATTGCACAACAAGATACAAAAGCTCGTGACCACCAAAGAGTCGTGGTAACAACCCTAATTCTCTCAAATGTAGACCAACAACCCACTAACACCATCCCGTAACCTCCCAACCTACGAAAATAGTACAAAACCTAAACAACATTATATCACCCCCTAAACAACATGTAACTCACATCTCGCTCCCTAATATTAGTGTAAACAACAATGTCTCCCCCGTCTTCTATGCTGTGTATGCATCAAAGACTCATTGACCTCCTCATCATGCTGCCATCATGTGTTCAATATCCAATGTTCATCCTTTTTGTTTCTTTTCTCTTTTCATTTTTTTCCTTTTTTTTTTTTTTTTTGTTCTGTTTTTTTTTTCCTTTTTCCTTTGTTTTTTTTTTTCCCTTTTTTTTATAAATATTCTCCTTTTTTGTTGTTGTTGTTTTTTTTGACAAATCATTAATCATCTCTTCGTTTTCATAATGCCAACGAAAATCAAACTGAAAATGACACTCCCTGGAATATGACAATATTGTTATGTCATTACTTGAAAAGAGAAAAAAGGAAAAAACAGTAGAGTGAAATGAGAGCCAGTAGAGGTGCGAGTGTACAACCTTGACTGGCGTGCCAGCGTCCGCAGCCAATAGTCGTAGCTAGCCAATAATGCTTGATTTTCCCTATGAAGAATGACTACCTGCACAGGGTACAGTTGTACACCCATAACAATTTTGATTTTTTTTTTATATATATGTTAGCATCCATAGCGTTATTAAATTATTCATTTTTTAAAATGATTACCATGAATGAGAGTAAAATGAAATTCCATCCATGAAATTGTAGTCATTTCTGAAAATGAAACAACAATGCAGTGATCATTAGCATAACCTTCACGCTGGCTTCACACCACATAAATTGAGAAATGGTGCAAACTAAATTAGAAGGGCAGGAACAACTGATAAATTTGTGTTGGGGCACATTCGTACATGTGTAAGAATAAAATAAAATTACATACATGTATATATACGTACATAGAGTTGTCGGCGTTCGGGACGGGCCGAACGCCCGAACCCGAACGCCCGAACGTACGGGCCCCCTTCGGAAGGCGTTCGGTTGTTCGGGCCGAACG